GTGTCGTGCGCCAGCGAGCGCGTCATACTCGTCCCAACGGTCGCCTTCAGTGACGAGCGCCGAGAGATCTGTGACCAACAACTTCCCTCCAGGAAAGTGTCGTAGAGCCTGTAGAACGCAGTGCCGCTCCGCTGCTCCAATAGTCTGCTGTGCTCCTGGAAGGCCTCCGTAGACTGCACGAGCTGGATATCCATCAGGAGACATTTGGACACAGGCCCAGCCGCAACGTCTCAATTCAGGAATGCTGGATGGAATAGCCGAGCCGTCTGTAAAAACTACGCTTGGCCAGTCTTCTGACGACCCAGCCCAAGATCCCCAGTACCTCACAGGAGGGTCAGGTTCGGCATGTTGCCAGTCTGCTGGTACCTGCGGGAGCCCCACACTAAGCTCAAAGCACTCGTCGCTGACTATCGGAGGATTGATGGTCCCGTTCTGCAATATCGAGTCGCGGAAAGACGTGAGCTCATCAGACATGGGATGATCGTCTTCACCTTCCAGCAGCCACTTGTTAACCGCATCGCACTTGAAGCAGACGTGGCCAATCGTCTCATCGTCGCCTTGGCAGGCACGACACAGTGAATCACCGACCTTGTTGCGCGCTGCAAGACGTACTTTGGTCCACAGCGAACCAGACCATAAAGCCCTGAGCGCACCAGCCGTCTTTGGATTTTTGACCGTAGCCGACGGTCCGCCCAAGCAAGCACGCAGCCCACGCGCCCACAAGATCGCGCCAGGCTCCCGCTGTTCGTGATGTGCCAAGATACGTTGCATCTGATATCGCTGAATACCTGCTCGAAGTAGATCGCGAAGTAGAAGCGGGGCAACTTGCAATAGTGACCGTGACCAGCTGCATCCCTGATCATCTTGCACCACTGTCGAAGATAACATACGCCATCCTACCCTTTGCAGGGACAACATGACTACACCAATCGGGCCTCGAGCCGTACTCCAACTGAGAGAAGTGGCATTGATTGCTTGCCAGGCTCGTCCTAACCTGCCCAGGCCAACGAGCTGTTCCCACACCAATCTATGGTAATAGAACATCGGCCCAGTCGTTGCGTCGAAGATGGGATCATACCATGGGTCACGCTGAGTCGCCAAGTAGAGGGTACTGATTGCTCCACGCTTGGGGTAGCCCGCCACAGTGGCGGATATGCTCCTCATGACCTCCAGCTCCTTGTCAGACACGCCGCTGACCGACGACCCGTGAGCCACCGACGGCAGCAACCCAGTTCTCCACAATCGCGTAACCTTGGTACCCACCGTCCGTCGAAATGCATGTACCCGTTGAGCACGCTGTTTGAGACTTGCCAACCGCTTCTTGGCAATCGTGCGCCTAACCACTGGCCCATGCAACTCATGCCCCAAATTCCTCATGTGCGGCTTCGACGGGATGTGGCAGTAATCAGAGGCCGCCTTAGATGCCTTGATCACTGCGGCCGACGTGGCAACGAAACCTGACTTGCTGGCCTGAATAACGAGCCCTACCTCCTTGACATCAAAGATAAAACCGTTCAGCGCCGCCCAGAAGCCGCTGAGCTGTTGTGTCGAGCTGCCAACCCACTGCGCTGAAACGTCATCCACCAAGGCTCGTGGTATAATATCATCTCTAGCAAGTCGTCAAATGGCCTTTGCTGTGAGCACCGTCAGCATAGTTGTGGACATGCTGCACCCTGCTAAGATACCTTGCGCAGATCTGTACCATACAGAAAGAGACCCATGACATTTGAGCGTTCTGGGTTGTAAATGGCACTGCAACGTCATCCACGTAAGCAAGACAAGAAAACCTTCCAGCCGAGACTGATCCAACAGGGCAGACGGCGAAACCGACTCGAAAGCTTTCCATGCATCGAGAAGAGCTGTCACAGAGAACTCGCCCAGGTAGAATGCCATTTCCGCTGTGATATTGTGATCCACCGCCGATGCTGTCGAGGACCTCCCAGCGCCACCTGTACCCCAAATGTTGGGAATCTTGGCGTTTCGAATCCAACGCTTGGCCACCGAGGATCGGACTCGTGCCCATAGCCGTAGTAGGGTGTTGACCAGACATATGAGACGACTTCCACCGTCGGGTTTTGCCAACCGCACAAGAATATTAACAATGCGATCCCCAGGCCACCAGCCAAGATTTTCACAGCGCGAAAACAACAAGTTGACCACCGACACGCCCTCATCCGACACGTGCCATGGCGCTCTCGGCGCGATCCCCGTTTGTCCCACAGCCGTGCGCTCAGGAAAAGAAAGAGAAGCCGCTCGCAGGACAGGAACACTGATGGCTGGCAGTTTGGGCCACGAAATAAAGTCAGCAGGCCTGTCGGGTAGATCATAACCGTGATGTTACCAAACCTCGCGCCACGTGACCATCTACCTATCTGCTAGTGCATGAGGGCTTCCATACACCATAGGCTTCAACTTCTCAGGCGCCTGTTGTACCTTAGTAAACCGATGTGCAGCACTAGCACCACGAAGAAAGGAACGATCTGCCCAATCTTTCCATGCCTTGTACTTGTCGGAGACGGACTGCTAGGTGAAAGTGGACGCCTGCTCCACTATGCACTGGACCATATCGTCGAAGTCGTCATGCAAGAAGACCGCGATACCTGAAGTGAAGAACGTTCGAACCCCATCGGTAGGCCCAGCAAGAATCCGCTTAGCCACAGCAACCTTGCAGAAAATCGCAGCTTCCTTGATGATCTTAACCACATGCCCGCATTGCTGCGAAGAAACTGGGCACATAGCGTGGGCACTCTGAAGACGTTGACAATGCTCTCCAAGATGGGCACGTACTCGCACCAGGTGAGATGCCCACCGCTCAGCTACCTGCCAACAGTTCACCTCTTGAGATACATAGGTACGTTTTCGTGGCGGCTGCCACTCTACCTTTTCCCACTTCCATGATACAACGCCAGCCCGTCCAAGATGTTTGCGATGGTTGGCACCTCGAAGCTGCCACCTGTCAGCCAAATCATGTTCAATCTGCCGTACCACCTCGTCCCCGGCCACCTGCAACGACGCGTTGTCATGTGCATCCAAGACTGCCAATCGTGCCTGACGCCAAGCACCACGCCGATGGGTAGTACGGACAACCAATAGGAGGAACCGATCCGAACCCCCGCGGTTCGTCTATTACCCTACGCCATGTCGGAATATCATGTGCCAACAACGAGTATCGTACAGGCGAGTGCGTAGCTATTGCAGAGTCATGTGCCACCTCTGGCTTCTGCATTCGCGCGTTAAGGTTGTTGGCCACTAGCGCGTAGTCAAAAACCGTGCCCAACATGCTCTTATGACAGGTAGAAGTCTCTGAGAAAAGAATAAAACCATGCACCTGTTCCAGCCATTCGTCAGCCCAGACCTCAGGTTGTAAGTTCCAATCTCCCAGAACAATCCAGTCCATACCCATGAAGTTGAGCAGTCCAACATACTTCAGAATGCCTGAAATGATGGCCATGTTGTCAGCGTCGAGGCCCTGGTCGTCGTATAAGTACACGCTCATCACGACGATGCCTTTTGGTACTCCCCAGTGCAGGTGTGCCGCCACGAACCTATCCTCGGGTAAATCCACCTGCGCGCGAAAGGGAGCTTCAGCCACCGTAATGTCAGTCGTGACCAACACCGCTACCCCTGCTCTCGTGCCGCCTGCTTCTGTGACCGAAGCTGGCGACCAACATCCATGGTATCCTAGGTCTCGAGCTTGCCTTTGCATGGATAGCAGCCGATCGCCATGGGCATGATGCTCTTGCACCGCGAAAACTGTGCCATCAGGTTCTTGGGACAAGTAATCAAAAAGTGAGCCAGCGCCGGTGACATTAACCGTGGTAAGCCACCCCTGCACCCGACGCCCCTCATGACCGTCGCGGGTGTCGCGATGCAGCGGTAGGACTGGATCAGGCAGGCTGCCTTGATCTGGTCCATGTCCGCCCTCCTGCAGATCATCAACAACCTGATCGTCATCTTGATGAGAGCGGCGGGGAGCAGGATGATAGTTAGGCGCCCGTGTTTGCAATAATCTCCTCATCATGGCCCGAAGCTCAGCAAGTTCACGCCAGTGACGCATCTCGAACTCATACCTATCCGTATGTGGCATATCTGCCAGCCGCTGCAAGAAGGCTGTGCGACGAGGTGCTGCCTGCCTCCAAGCTCTGGCACATAGCTCCTCAATGATCTGAGCAAGAGTACGGTGTGGGAACCAACGCAAAAGAGCAGCCCTTAGCCCATGATTGCCTCCACGCCGAAACATCTCATCCAAAAAGGGTTCACGCCAACGCCTCCAATTGTCGTCGCCTCTCGGACCGAACACCAAGCCGTCCGTCCACATAGCTGCCCAAGACTGCAGGTCCTGACGCATAGTGACATAATCGTCCGTAGCCTACTCCCGTTGTTCGCGAACGTGGTCAAACAAGTCAGGAGGTGGAAGACCCATGGCGGAGGCTGGCTCTGCCTGAGCCTTAATCCGTCGCGTTCTTTTCCAATTCCCTTTCCATTTTTGGCGACGAGGCAAGCCCCCCTGGGAGCAGGCCGTGCAGTGGCCGTTAGGCCGAGCAGGCCAATCCAGGACCCTGGGTTCTCTGAGTTCCTGGATCTCTGAAGACGGGGGTTCCTTCGCCGTGGGAGCAGCAAAAGCAGACTCTGATATTGTCACCTCCATGCGTGGCTGCGAGCTCAGAGAAGATTCTGCTGCCTTAAATAGTGTGGCCAATCTCGACGTTGCTCCGCTCAGCTCTTCACGTGATACCACGTACAGCTGCCAGAAATCGCCAAGCATGTCCACCTGTTGTTGTCCATCATGAATTGTACACGGCATGGTAACATCAAAGACATATTGCCAAAAACCAACACCATGCGGCCATACCCAATCACTCGCATGGGCTGTAGCGTGATACTCGCTTGTGCATGAGGTTAGCTGCAGCACGTAGTTTGCCGAGGTCCAACTTCGCAACTGCCTCGGAGTCGACGACCCCTGATTCCACAAAGATATTGCGAAGGGCCTCCTCGTCGGCTTCACGGAGACTAGGAAGGGCAGCTGCAGGTTCCTCTGGTGCCACTGCCATGTCTGCTGTCGCACCTGCCGCCGCAGCCGCTGGCCGAAGTAGGAGATTGCCTGCAGACTCTGCCACCTCGGGTTGAACAAGCTTCGCCAAATCCTCCTCTTGAACAATCTTAGATAGCAATTCACCTTCCACACCATGCTTTTTGAGAACCGCTTCCAAGGTATCCAGCTTGAAGAGGGCGCGCTGCACCGATACTGTAGCACCATCTGCCGCCTGAGCGGGCGGCCGAAGAGCAGTGGCAGCAAGTTGCGCTCGCTGGCCTTCAAGTGTGGCCTGTTGCTGACGAAGAGTGGCCAAGTTCGTCTGGTCCTCCTCGATTGCCTCCTGCAGCAGCTTGAGTTGCTTTTGCCGCTGCTCAGCTGCGGCCTTTGCTTTTTGAATCTTCTGGTCCAGCTGGTAGAGCTTGCGGTTGACCTCATTGATCTGCACACCAACAGGCTTACGTTCGCGTCGTTCCAGCTGAAGTTTGTCCCGTTGGGCATCAAGCTCCTTTCTGGTACTTGCCAACCCAGGAATTTCTTTGACCAGCGCCTCAGGGAGCTTCTGCAACTTTGTGTCCAACAGTGCAAGCTGCTTGTCCAAGGAATCATCATCCTGGTCGACGACCTCCACCGTTGGTTCAACCTGCACGGGGCTAGACTGCAGTGGAAGCTGACGTTCACGTAGCTGAGCCCGCAACTCAGTGATGTTTGCCTCCAGCTGCTGAATGACTCGTTTTGTCTCCCAGGGCGTGGTCGGAACTGCATTAGATACTGAGTGCTTGCTGGGGCTCCCACCTTCTTTATTCCCACCGAAGACGTTGCGCTTGTGCATCTGACACTGTTTACAATGAAGATGAATGCCCAGGTTGCACACGCGCTTGCCTTTCTGAGAGCCCCACTTGACCGTACAGTCCTTGCAGTACCAGTCACTTCGCACCCACTCCTTCTCTCCACCCATGAGCGCCGTGGCCGCAGGCGAGCACCCAGAAGAGACGTAATGACTGAGAGTAGCGCCCACGGCGCGGAGTTACAGTATGGAGTATGCTGACCCGCAGGGTCAGAAGTGGCGGGGGCCGCGATTTCCCCCTTGCCAGGCAGGCCAAGCCCTGAGCGAAACGCTACGGACTTGAGCCAAAATGGCTACGGAACCTCCTCCTCCACTTCCTCCTCCTCCTCAATCCACCTCCTCCCTTCCTCCTCCCTCCTCCCTCAGCCCTCCTCCCTCCTCCCTCCTCCCTCCTCCCTCCTCCCTCCTCCTCCTCCTCCCCCTCCGTCCCTCCTCCTCCTCCCTCTCCTCCTCTCCTCCTCCTCCTCCTCCCTTTCCTTCCTCCTCCCTCCTCTTCCCCTTTCTCCTCCTCCTCCTCCTCCTCCTCCTTCCTCCTCTTCCCTTTCCTCCTCCTCCTTCTCCGCCTCCTCCTCCTCGGTCCCTCCTCCTCCTCCTCGTTTTCCCCGGGTCCTCGTCCTCGCCCCGTCTCGTCCCTCGTCGCCCATCCTCCAACTCCTCCTCCTCCTCCTCCTCCTCCCCTCCTCCTCCTCCTCCTCCTCCTCCTCCTCCTCCTCCTCCTCCTCCTCCCCATTCTCGTTTCCTCCCATGCGCCCTACAGTATGACGGCAATAATGTCGTACCGACGCTGCCACACCCAGCTCAACCCCCGAGGGCTGATGGTCCTCACTCCACCCCCCTTGTCGCCGCGTGTCGCCCGTGCCACGGGCAGCGCGCAGGCTGCGGTGGGACGGCCCCAAGCGGCCGTGCGCGGCCGGGACCCGCTAGGGGCCCTGGGGTTTGGCGGTTCACCCCTAACCTCCTTCCCAGCTTGGTGCTGTGTTGAATTGTTGAATCTTTCGCGGGTTAAGAGCCCGACCGCCCACATTGCGGTTCCGTAGAGCCCCCTTCTGCGGCTCTCTGCGGCAGCCTAAGTACGCGGTGGTCTATGTCTGGGTCAGCGGTGCCACGCCGGCGAGGGTGAAAAACGGTGACCGAAGATGCGTACGCGGTGACGGAGACTGGTGGCTGCAGCTCGGGGTGCCTCTGCGTGCGAGGAGGAAGGGCGAGGGTCACGGCCGGGAGAGGCTGCCAGGCAAGCCGCGCAGCCTGAGTCCCGCGGCCGCTCTCTCGCCGCTGGCGCCGTGAGCCGCGCTGCCAGGGGGTCTCCCGGCAGGTCCGAGAAGGAGTGGGAAGGCGCGCGGGCGGGCGAGGGGGACCCCCCCCCGGGACGGCCGCGGGGACGGCGGAGCCCGAGGGGAGGGATGCCGAGGATGATGAACATGGAGCGGGGGTGAGGGTGTTGGCGCTGGCGAGGTGCGGGTTGCGCGTGGGCGGCCGGAATGGAGGGGAAGGTAGGGCGAAGCGGCTCAGCCACTCATTGGCAAAAGTGGTGGCTCACCACCCTGGCCATCGCTCAGACGTCCATTTCCTGTGCTTTTTTGGTTTCGTGCGTGGTTTTTTCGCCAAATGATCAAGGATGCTCCTCGATGGTCCTCGCCGAAGGAAAAATGCACACGTCCGAGCGATGCCAAGCACCTCGCTCGTCGTGAGGGCTGTCGCGGGGGGGGGGGCTTTGGGGGGCCCTCGGGCGTGGCAGGAGGGGCCGCGGCGGCCTTCGTGGGGGCCGTGGGCGGGGCGGGGCGGGATCCCGTCCTGCGCGCAAGGTCGCGCTGCTCCTGCCGCTCGAGCCGTGGATGGAGACGGCTTTGGACCAGAGCCTGCCCTTGCCGCAGGGTTTACCCTGCGCTCGGCTGGTTGCTTTCCGGGCGGCCCCCTCGGTCTCGAAGTGGACGTAGCCGCAGCCCCGCGGGCAGCCGTGCTCGTCGGACGACAGCCCAGCAGTTCCAGAGCTTGCCGGATAGGCTGAAGGTGGCGAGCAGCGCCTCGTCGTCGATGCGACGTCCGAGGCCTGTGACGAGCATGCGCCGATTCGCGGTCTTGCGCGAACGGTCCTCGCCCTCCTCGCGGCGGGCCTCGCCCGGCGAGACGGCGCCGTCTTCGTGGTCGTGCTCGTGGGGGGAGTCCGGCGAGGCCGTCGCGCGGGCTGTCGGAGAGGCCGTCGCGGGGGCCCTTCCCGGGGGCAGGCGGGGGGGCTCCCGTAGCCGCAGCCGTCTTCGCGCCCGCCTCGGCCGTCGCCGTCGCGGGGGTCGTCGCGGGGGCTTTGTCGCGCGGGTCGCCGTCGCAGAGGTCGTCGCGGGGGCGTCGTGCGGGGCCGCCGCGGGGTCGCGGGGGGCAGGGGGCCGTCGGTGCGGTTGTCCTGTCGTCCGCCCAGCAGCCCGTGAGGGAAGCGCTGCGGGGGCGTTGGGGTTGGATGGAGCGAAAACACCTCCTCCTCCTCCTCCTCCTCCTCCTCCTCCTCCTCCTCCTCCTCCTCCTCCTTTTTACGTTAGTCCGACCGAAGCACAGGCTGTGGCGTTCTACCTCCTCCTCCTCCTCGTCCTCCTCCTCCTCCTCCTCCTCCTCCTCCTCCTCCTCCGCCTCCTCCTCCCTCCCCCTACCTCACAACACTCTGCTCCCTGTCCAGCTCCTCCACGATACCTGCCCTCCCCCCCCACACCCCGCGCGTAAGGCTCCCGCGGGGCCTGCGCTTTCGTGGCCTCCGGCTCGAGGTGCCACGGAGCCGGCCGTCTGCGGGGCAGGCATAGGAGCCGCGCCCCCTTCCCTATCTCCTCCTCCCCCTTCCCCTCTTCCTCTCCTCTCCCCTCCTCCTCCTCCTCCTCCTCCTCCTCCTACCTCCCCCCTCGGCCTCCTCCTCCTCGCCTCCTCTTGGTCCTCCTCCTCGTCTCGTCCTCCTCCTCCACCTCCTCCTCCCCCCTTCTCACCTCCCTCCTCCTCCTCCTCCTCCTCCTCCCTCCTCCACCTGGTCCCACCGTTCCCTTTCCCTTCTTCATTATACCATTCCTCCTCCTCCTCCTCCTCCTCCTCCTCCTCCTCCTCCCCTTTCTCCTCCTTGCCCGCGTCGGTCTGAAGGTCAAGCAAAACGAAACGACCGACACACGCTTAATCGATTAGACGCGAAGGAGGCGCCCAGGGAAAGGGACACTCTCCCTCCTCCTCCTCCTCCTCCTCCTCCTCCTCCTCCTCCTCCTCCTCCTCCTCCTCCTCCTCCTCCTCCTCTTGCTCCTGCTCCTGATCCTGCTCCTGCTCCTGCTCCTCCTGCTGTTTCTCCTCATCCTCCTCCTCCTCGTCCCTCATCCCCCCTCCCTCTTTCAGAGGCACGCCCGCAATGGGCACGGACATGTACAATGTACGATGCCGAACACCAGCTGTACTCCCAAAGCCGAGAGCGTCCGCTGTTGGGCAGGCAAGCTTGTGCCTCAGACGGAAAGAACGCCCACGGCGACACAGGCATCGAACCACGTTCAGAATGGACAGGAGCTGTTTCGGGCATTTGTCCCCTTCCTTCCCGTACCCACTTCGGTCGTACTCATCCTCCCCCGCACTTCCCGACGTCCATCCGCGGCCGAACCCCTCACTGGGGTTATTAAGTAAGTCTACGACCCCGATCCTATTGTTGTAGCCCTGGGCCCGATGAAGGGCCCTGAGCCCAGATCCGCCGGAAGAAAACGCTGGGATTGAACACGCATCTTTTCTCGGAGGTCTGGGCTTGGAGCCGGCTGGAGGGCTGTTCGGGAAGTGGGGCGAAAGAGGCCCCTCGCCACCACGGCTGGACGCGGCTCGGACAATTTGTCAGCTTCGATCCTGGAAGGGGTCCAGGGACGGGCCTTCAGCGGATTTGCATTCGCCCGACATCTCGGCGGACCTCCACTGGGCTTACACGTACCCAGCTCAGACTCCCTGGCCGTCTCTAGGCGGCGCGCCCAGGAGGGAAGCGAGAGGGGGCGGGCCTTTCCAGAAAGCTTCAATGCCCTCTGGCCTTTTCAACAACTTTCTGAGCCTCCCCCCAAAGACGCCGACAACTTCGCAACGCCGGGCTTCTGAAGCCCCGGAGCTTTCTGAAAAGACCTGCTCCTTCCAACTTCCCCCCCTCTCGCTCGCTGCCGAATCGCCAAACTTGGACGCCTCCCCGATCCCCCCTCGGACCCTCGGGGATCTTCTGACCCGGGTCAATCCAGACCCAGGTCAGCAGGAAACCAAACAACTGCAGTGCTGGAAGAGAAAACTGCCACGCAGGTCTTCGCAAACCGGGTCAGCCAATACGCGCGGCCACGAGCGGCTCGCTGACCCGGGCCAGCGACAGGGGGTCTTCGCAGGATCCTGCAGGATCTGGTGCCCTGGCAGACCCCCGTTTGCATTGACCCCCGTCTCGTAAGCTCCGCGACCCCGGGGCGCGCGGTGCGCCGGGGGCAGGGCTGTGGCCTCGGCGCCTTGGCGGCGTCCTCGTCGCCGTCCGCGCGCCGCGGCTCCTCGGGGCGCCTCCTGCGGGCGGCGGCGCCCTGGGACACAACTCGCGGGAGAAAGAGGAGGAGGAGGAGGAGGAGGAGGAGGAGGAGGAGGAGGAGGAGGAAGAGGAGGAAGCGAGGAGGAAAGCGCACCCGCATCCGCGGCCTCGCGGACCTGCGGGGCCTTTCTTCGTGCCCCTGCCCCGCTCGGCGCGCACCCGCGCGCTCGCGCATCCGCGGGAGGCTCGCGCCCCGGAGCCCCGGCCGCGACGGCGCGGGGCTGCGGATGCGTTCGCTGCTCGCAGGGGGTGGCCTCCGCGGAGGAGAGCACCCGAAATTGGAGTCCCTAAACGGTGTGGTGACAGACCGTGCGGTGACCTCGAAATCCCCCAAGACCTCACCGCACGGTCCGTCACCGCACGGTCTTAGGACCCTGGAGGCCCCTGTCGCCCGAGACATCCTCGGAGAACGACCCGAGTCCCAAAACCGTGCGGTGACCCCGAATCCCCACCGACTCACCGCACGGTGTGGTCACCACCCCGTTTTGGGGCCCCCGACCGATGCTGGTGCCCTTGCTTCGGCTTCCGCTTTTTTCGGGCCTCCCGGGAGGCCGTC